AGATCGAGATCCCCGGGGGCGGATCTCATGCCGCAGCACTCGTATCCTCTAGCCCAGTATCTCCCTTATCCCTCTATGTACCCCACCGATGGTACTTACTCAACTTACCAACCCATGGAGTCCAACAGCCCTTACAGTCCTGCGACGTACTCTTCTGGATGTCCCTCTCGAATGTGATTATAGATACAATGCCCCCTTCTTTTTGTCTTCTTATTCCCCCTCTCCGTTTTACTGTCAATTGTTCTACGTCATCTTCACCATGTTAGTGATTACTAGAAGGAATTTTTGTGCCTTTTTCCCGAGCATCGGGAGAGTTATGCAAGCTGGTCCCGATCTCATGTATTTCTGGAATGATGACTATGTATGATGATTTAACTAACATGCTTTCTTTTCTTTAACACGTGCTCGCAATATCTCTGTACATATTTCGGGCGCTCAGGAATTTCGTTTCAGACCAAACAGCGCATGGCATATGAGAGATCAGATTTATGTTTTGGCTTTTCCTCTTTTGTACTAGGCTGTTCCCACTTGGGGCATGGTTCCATGGTTCATAAGAACATAAAGTACCTCTGGAGATCATCAATGGTAATCCGAGATTTAGTACCGAGCACGGAGCACGGAGTAAAGATCAGGCTAAATTCAAACAGTGCTCCAATTCTCGTTTCAGGGTTAATCTCCTTGACTCCTGGATGCGAAAATACACATGTATCGTGTATAAACGTGCGCATTATCTTATTTATCCCTTGCACGAACATGGCAAACGAGCATCGGCGTCGATCAGCCTCGTCGATCGTCTGTCCTGTCACAGCCCAATCCGGTCCTTGCTTCCCTACAGCAGCCTCCTCCCCTTTGGAGACTTATCGTGAGATCTTCATGGGGGCTGGAGTTGTCTTGCATGCCTCGTGCAGGGGGACTAACGACATTTTCTGTGTGCGTGGGTGTGTGATACGTGTAAACTATGGATGTTCTGCGATTATGTTAGAAGCGGGCTGAATCAACCCCGGGGGATGAGAGTGTTCGGCAGCCGATCGTGAACCGGACGACCTCGGGAGACCAGGGTTGAGGTGATCTTAGTCCGATATTGGATTTTAACTATCAGCCTCATATTTTTGATGTGGAAAATATCACCACAGTTTATGGAATAACCTACAAATTAATATTTACCCGGGTAAAGGGGCGGGCTGTGTAATCAAGGGATGACATGTTGCATTCCACGCTGGCAACACGCGAGGGTGAACTTTGTCTTAGCTTTTACCTCTCGGGTTTCTGTTTTGCTTTTTTCTTCTTTTTTCTTCCTTTTTAATGTATATTTCATTGAGCATATTCCTAATCATGTTCGCTTAACACATTCCAACCCTTGAATCGGCTATCGCGTGGTGAAGTCAACCGGCTCGGGGCGTGTGGAGCTTGCGTGTCTCTCGCGTGTAGGGTTTTGGCATTTGCATGCATCGCGAGCCTTTTAATACTGTGCCCCTCCCATTTGACTGGGTGCTTATTCTCTCTCGACTTCACGAAATTTACCACCTTCTTTATATTAAAGACCTTATTAGATAGTCATGGAGGTTCGTGCCCTGTTTACTCTATACGACTCTCCACACGAATCATAATCTAACTCCACCCTAGCAGACACAGCTGGACTGGAATGACTCCACAGACATCCTTCAAGGCATCATGGTTGGACACGAAGGACATGATCTGTCCGATTTTAGACCCTCAAATCTCCCCTTCGATGCCGCAAACCCACTACTAGACCTCCAACTCGGATCGCTTGATCCAACAGTTAACCACCCACTCTTAAGCCAGTGGCCTTCACACCCCAGTGACCTATACTACTCCCAGTACGCTCACTCCCGTCTGATAGGCGACCAAGATGCCTGGAATCCGCTGCTGGCTACCGGTGTCCCGGCTGCCTCGTCTATCTCGCACATGAACATGCCTGTTCAGATGCCCGACAAGGACTGCTGCCTCTCGCAACATCACTATAGCGAGCCATCTGAGAACGGGAGCCAGTATATAGATAGCTATCACTCCGCTGATTCCGGGTACGGTGGGACCAACTGTGCAACGCAATCTGTTGTTGCTTCTTCGTACAGCGTGGACTCCTCGAGCCCGCACGTCGAGATGACAGAGAATATGCCTACGGAGTCGGGGCCTTTGTTTGGTCATTCCAAGTATGGATCTGTGTCTGGGTCATCGTACACATCGGAGTTTATGGGCTCGCCGTCGCAGTTGGTTGATACCTCGATGCGATGCGATCATCCATCGTGCAAGTGGGTTGGGAAATGTCCTTCGGACAAAAGGTATATCGTTCTAGCCGCGATTTGAGAATAGTGATGGCAGGGGACTAACTTCCACAGGAAACACGAGGCTCGCCACAAGAAGCTCTTTAAATGCGACGTTCCAAATTGCCCGCGGAAGGACGGCTTCGGCACCATTAATGATCTGGCCCGTCATAAAAAATGCGTCCACAATAAAGAGCCCGAGCGTGGGCCCAAGATGATGTACATGTGTTTTGGGACAAACTGCCCGCGCCCGAACAAGAGGTGGCCGCGTCTGGATAACTTCAAGCAACACCTGAACCGAATGCACCGAGAAGAGGATGGGGAGGCACTCCTGAAAAAGTGGGTTTCAAGTGGGAAATCTAATGTTCCATGCACTAATTCATGAACAGGTCCATGGATTGGTACGAGACAGTCATCCTCCACCAACCAGAACAGAGCTTCGACGAGCGTAGCTCAAGGGACGAGTCGGTATTAGAAGCGGAAGAAGATGAGGCCTCTGTCCAGTCAACCGATCTCGAGCCGGAATATGATTCCATGTCTCAACAAAGGACTGATATCTTCACATTTGGTGCTGCCACACCAAGACCCCCTCAGTATGGTACGCCGTCTCTCGCAGACTCGACTTCTTCTCAATCGCCTGCTTTTGGCTCCATGGGTCTGTCAACAACGAGTCAAGATCCGTCCACTGAACGTGCCATCGCAAGGCCTGATGGATCAGTTGCAGACGCCGCTGATAACTTAATCAACGCCATGACAAAGATGATAAACAGCCGCGGGCGGAGATCAAGTCAGAATATGGATGAGGGAATCGATCTTGAAACCGACGCTGCTCAGCTCTCCCAACCCCAGCGGCAAATGCTACAGAAGTTGCTTTCGGTGGCATTGGAACGGTTATCCGACGAAAACGAAGCCCCCGCCCAAGGTCCTGATAGCGAAAAACGTGGCTGGTTCCAATGTGACGCGTGCCCAAAGCAGACCCGGCTTCGCTGTGAAATGAAGTAAGCCACCCTTGACCCTTATTCTTATTAGTGTATTAACCACGGATATCATTAGAAAGCACCAGAAGCGCCACGAACGACCCTACAGCTGTACATTCCCCCACTGTGCCAAGTCATTCGGCAGCAAGGCCGACTGGAAGCGCCACGAGAGCTCCCAGCATCTCGGTGTGCCCAGTTGGTTCTGCACAGAAACCGATGTGCAAACAGGCGCCTCGTGCGAGCGGCTGTTCTATCGACCAGACACATATACCCACCACCTGCGTCAGCATGGAATTCATGAATATCACGTCGCAGCTTGGGCTGGCAATCACCGGCTCGATCTGGCCGGCCAGTCAGACTTTTGGTGTGGATTCTGTAACCACAGAGTCACACTAAAGACCCATGGCCCCGAGGCCTTGGATGAGAGGTTTAATCATATTGATATTGAGCATTTCAACAAAGGAGAGAGGGGTCAGGACTGGCGGTTCCCGTCTTCGTCCCTCGAGGGAAACGAGATGGATCAGACCAAGGATGCTGTGGTACAGACGCTTGATCACAGTCGAAAGGCTACAACGACGGGCGAGCGGAAGCGCAAATATGCTGCGGCATGACATACTAGGGTTTTTGAATATTGGAATCCTGGTTCCGTAATATAATAAGGATATTCTGCAATATTTAGTTGATCGGGATCATCACAATGTATCTCCAAGTCTGGAAGTGCCATGACATTATTCAAAGCCACAATATAATATGGTGCTGGGCATCAATGAAGCATAATATGGTACAGGTTTTCTCGAGATTCTTCTCAAGATCGGATTCATTTCTGGGTGCTAGTGATCTCCCGGGCTTCTTTCTCTAGCACGGCCACTTTTTCTGCAGGAAGGGTTAGCGACATGCAAGATAGGGTAATGGAATGTATTAATTTGTGCTGTTCTCACCATTCTTTGCCACCTTAATCTCATCCATTTCCAATTTTAACCAGGTCCAATAAAGGACCTGGTAGACGAACACGCCCCCCAAGAAGATCTTGGCGAAGGGACCAGCAAAGGCTCGATATTTATTCATCTAGACACAAAAAATTAGAAGTTTGCAATTAAATACTGCGGCCTGAAAGAAAAATATGTACACACCCCTTCCTTGTATGCACTTGGTTTCTGAGATGAGTTGAATGTGGCTTGTGTGGAGGTGAAGGTGCGTCGGCTCATGGGAGCTCGAGCGGATTGGAAAGACATCACAGCCGGTGCCAACCGACGAGCTGGTTGAGAAAACATGTTGTAATTTTAATAAGCCGTTGCCTTCTTTCTCGTTGTTGATATCCGAGAAGACGAGCTAGGGTGATGTTGAAGTTCGCATTATTTCGGGTATATCGGTCTTGGCGTTGCTTCCTCAGGTGTCAATTTATTCGTCTCTCTTTCTCTCATGATTAAGTTGTGTACAGGTTAAATCCAAAACGAATCGACATAAGAGGTAAGCACATAGATTTTAATTGGCGTGGATTTGCTATAATGGGGTTGAAATAACTGGTACTTTGATTACCCAGGGGTGACTTTTCCAGAATATGTATTTATGACCATTTTTTCTATCAAAGTTCGGTTCCTTCTAGAATTTGTCGACTATCACACAGAGTTGACTTTTGGGCGTCGGCGCTCGACTACCTAATGATGCAATGTAGAGTTAACCCTTTGCCTTGAAAGTGAACCCCCCTTCACATCTAATTGATCTCCAAAACGTGTCCTCCAATATGTTCTTCAAAACAGACACTTGGCGGATTGAACGCAAACGGATCGGATGGACAGAGGAGTACAAATTTCTGTATAGAAAAGGCTACAAAAAAGCTCGTTGTCAGCTCGATCTCTTTGTACAGCTTATCGTTGCTGATTACCATGTCCGTGAACTTGCTCAGCAGAAGGAAATGCTGCAAGAAAAGGTTCGGGCACTCCAAAAAATGCAAAGTGCCGGCGAAGACGAAGCACAGCTCCAGAAACTGGATAAAGAGCAAGAGGTGCTCCGGAAGCAATACTGGTATCAGGAGTGTGAGCTTCACAAGTGGCAAAGCAGCATTCCCGGTGGCCCTATGAAACTTGCCTATGAATCATTAAGAAAGAATCCGAAATGGTATATGCAAAATGAACTGATCAAGGATTGTGCTGGGCGAGGTGGTTGCTGCGGGCGTGTATGCGGATGCTGCGAGAAACGCGAGTCTACTCCTGAACGAAACATGGGAGCCGGGCACTGCACTACTGGGTGTGCATGCTGCTCGAGCTTTCGGGGATGTGAGCTCACTGCACAACAGAAGACGAATATTAGAGAATCTCTGAGAGCGGCCCTCGAGTATTCGGATAGTGCTTATCTTCTCACAATGTCGCGCGCTTACATGATAAGGGACAAGAAGGTCTAGGAGATGATTGAGGAGGTCGACTTGGTGTCAAAGCTGGCTAAATGGAAGTAAATTATCGGAAGGAAGGAGGAGATAGCTACTAGTGAAGTGTTGCTTTTGACACTATTGCTTATTTGGAGATTCAACTGTTGAGATATACACATATGGTCAACTAAATCCATTGCTATCCTAGAAATTACTATCCCTCCAGATAAAAAGATTCCCTGTGATGTCGCGATGGCAATGTAAGAGGCCTCGTCACTTGTTAAGATTAGATATTGAAGTCTCCAGGGCTTTCATCGGCGCTGTAGTGCGACATGAATAACATCGATAGGTATATCAAGGACAAAACAAATATCACGAGAAAGAAACTAATATATTCTCAATTGGCTTGGTGAATGGGTCGATGAGTGTCGATGCACGTCCAGATGTCGATCTTCCAGTGCAGGGGCACGAGCCACTGCTGAGTCAGCGGCACATGATATCAGGTCCGGTCGAAAGCGTCGCAGAAAAAAAGACAACGAAAAGGAAAAAACAAAGGGCCCTATTCTCGTCTCCTTCATGTCCCAAATTGCCCTCTGACACCTCCTGTCATCATTGTATCATGTCATTCCCCCACACCTTCATCAATCTTGAATGTGCCGTATTGGGGCATCAAAATGGTTAATAGAATCCATTTAGTCCATTCAGGAGGAGAATGGAGCTCTACAATAGCTCGATTCATGGGGGCTTGATTCATCGGCTGAAGGGTGACAATGGCTATTGAAGCAATTCCCCCCATTGAGAGAGGGTGGCACGTGCACTTTGTTGACTAATTGGTGCGCCACGATAAGTGGCTGATGAATTCAGGCAGTCAGCCCCAATGAGCGCGAGTCCTTTCCGCCCTTCTTCCCTGAAGTCTTCGTCCCTCGATCTCCCATCGTCTTCTACTTTCTTTTACTTGGTGCAATTATTTCTGTGTACTGCGCATTTGTCCTGGTGGCTGACAGCTTTCCGACACGTTTGTTTTCCCACGCGTTCCCGAGTCCGTGAGACCCTTCCATCTCTGCCCCAATTGCGCTCCACCACCGTGCCGTCTCCGCTAACATATTGATCAGCAATTGTCGGGAAGAAAGTGCCACGGTTACTGCTGTGACAGGCATATTCTTTCCCTTTGATCGAGTGGTCTGGCTGTTGCTGGCGACAACTGAACCATTCGTAAGTGTTGTCCCTCTGCCCGCATCGCGCAACGTCGACGATCCGCCTTTTCATCTTTGCGTCTTCCTTGTCAGCTAGGCATTTGACCCCCTTGACTGTGTTTTCATCGTACTTCCCAAATTGGAGCGTTGTATGCTGACGTTGTGTTTCAAAGTGATCCCCTAATCACCAAAACTACGCCATGGCTCGTGGCGCAAAGCGTACCCTGGACGAGGTCGCCATAAAGTCCGACTCCGATGACGAGGACTACAGTGACCACGCTCGTTATCCCCGTTCGACCGGCCGGAAGTCGAAGGCCAGCCCCAAGAAAAAGTCGCGGCCGGCCCCAAAAAAGAAACGGCGCGACTCAGACGACGGTCTCACCTCGGACGAGGAAGAACTGTCCGAGGATTTTGACTTCGACGAGGTGGAAGAAGAATCGGAGGAAGAAGTTGAACGCAATGTCAGAGGAACGGCCCGTCGACGAACCACCCAGAGCCGTCGCCCGCGCTATGAGGAACCCGATTCGGGAGAAGACCTGCTCAATAATGACGGCGAGAGTGAGACACGAGCTCCTACTCCTCCTTCTCCTCCACGCAAGAGCACCGTCATCAAGTTGAAACTCCCGCCCAATTACTTGGCCTTCACTAAACGTGTAACCCGCCGTACTCGTGACGCCTCAGAGGATATCTACGCCCTTACCAACTCTGGTCGTCACATGCACACTGTTGAGAGAGGTACACATACTCCAGAAGCCGAAAATCCATCCCCAACTCGCCGTGTTTCCAGAGTTGGCCGCATGGCCAATCGCACGATCATTGATGAAGAGGATGAAGATGAAGACGCCGAAGGAGATGAAGTCGCAGAAGGAGATGAGGATGCTGAAGGAGATGAGGACACCGAGGAAGTCATCAACGAAACAACTATTCAGGGCTCACAAATGGAGGTACTGGAAAGTGACGTGCCTCAAGGCGGCGCTGAAGGTGATACATTGCCACTGAATGATGGAGATCACGACCCAATTGACGAAGTAATGCCGGATGAAGATGTTGTCCCTGAATCAGAAAATGGCGATTCGAAGAATGATCATTCCGAGCAGACTGATGAACCTCCAACAACTCGGCAACGAGGCAGGCTCCACCACGAGCAATCTCTCGAGGAGAATACCGCGCAAGGCGCGGCGACAAATGAAGAATCGCACCTACGTCGGTCCAGCCGTAAGCAGCCGTCTCGAAGCTCACAGCGGAAAAGCAAAAATGAAGAAAGTGATTTCGAGCCAGAGGAGGAGCCATCCAATGATGAAGAGGAAGACTCGGACCCTGAATCGCGTGCCTCTCCTCGTAAAGAAATTCAAGCTCGCGAGGAAGCGGAGGATAGCTCTGCCAGTCGGCGTCCTGGCCTACGCCAACGGCCTTCTCGAACCCGTGCACCCTCAGAGGAGGCAGAGGAACTCGCCGAAGAATTGGAAGACCTTACTGGCCGTGCCCGTCGCCGTGCGAAGCAAGCGGTCGTGTATGAGAAACCGCGTCGCAACCGAAAGGACGTTGATTATCGCATCATTCGACCTGAAATGTTTCAACCTAATGAAGACACTGACCATGAAGTGACAGGGTCTCCATCCCGGCGTGGTCGTGGAGGTGGAGGCTGGCAGCGCACTTTGTTCTCCACATTAGGCCCATTCGGTGGCGGTGGTAATTCAGCGATTCTCGGTGTTCCTGGTGGCCCTACTGCAGTTGGAGGCGCAGACAGCGATAGCAGTGATGATGAAGGTGCCCCACAGCCGAATCGTGCTCCTGGTGTTGGAGTTGCAGCCACCCACAACCAGTCGGCTGATCCTGCTCAGACCTCGTCCGGCACGCCTGCAAACCTTGGCAAGTTCAATAACAAGCAAGCTTTAGCTGACGCGGACCCCCTGGGGGTTGACATGAATGTCAACTTTGACCATGTGGGTGGTTTGCAAGGGCACATTGACCAGTTGAAAGAAATGGTTTCTTTGCCGCTGCTGTACCCGGAAATATTCCAGCGTTTCAAAATTACCCCTCCTCGCGGTGTTCTATTCCACGGTCCTCCTGGTACCGGAAAGACGCTCATGGCTCGGGCTCTAGCCAACAGTGTCAGCTCAGAAGGACGCAAGGTAACTTTTTACATGAGAAAGGGTGCGGATGCATTAAGCAAATGGGTCGGTGAGGCCGAGCGACAACTTCGGCTTCTTTTCGAAGAAGCTCGCAAGAACCAGCCTAGTATCATCTTCTTTGATGAGATTGACGGTAAGAGAGGCCCTTCTGAGCATAGTTGACAATAGCTAATATTCTATATCAGGTTTGGCTCCCGTGAGATCGAGCAAACAAGAACAAATCCATGCCTCGATTGTCTCGACCTTACTTGCATTGATGGATGGCATGGATGGTCGTGGTCAAGTGGTTGTCATCGGTGCCACCAATCGACCTGACTCTGTTGATCCTGCTCTTCGCCGCCCTGGTCGTTTTGACCGTGAATTTTATTTTTCGCTGCCTAATCTCGAAGCACGCCGTGCTATTCTCGACATTCACACCAAGGAATGGGATCCTCCCCTTCCAAGCAATATCAAAGATGAACTGGCGGATATGACCAAGGGTTATGGCGGTGCTGACTTACGAGCCCTTTGCACTGAGGCTGCAATCAATGCTGTACAAAGAAGATACCCTCAAATCTACAAATCAGACAAAAAGCTCGTGATTGATCCGAAAACAATCGATGTCGCCCCCAAAGATTTCATGCTAGCAATCAAGAAGATGGTGCCCTCTTCAGAGCGGTCTACCTCATCTGGTGCGAGTGCCCTCCCTCCAAGCATTGAACCCCTGCTTCGGCATCCATTATCCGAAATCAAGTCTTTGCTCTCCGAGATACTTCCACAGCGAAAGAAGCTTACTGCTCTCGAGGAGGCTCAATATGAGGAGCCTGATGATGGTGCAGGCTTCACCCGCGAGCTCCTTTTGCAGGAGTTTGATCGCTCGCGTGTCTTCCGACCCCGACTCCTCCTTCGAGGCCCTCACGGTATGGGCCAGCAATACCTCGCCGCCGCGCTGCTGCATGTGTTTGAGGGCCTGCATGTACAGGCCTTCGATCTCCCAACCTTGCTGAGTGACTCGACCCGCTCTCCCGAGGCAGCTGTCATCCAGCTATTCACGGAGGTCAAGCGACACAAGCCGAGTGTGATTTACATTCCCAATATTCAACTGTGGTTCCAGACTGTCGGACCTACTGTGATTTCTACCTTCATGAGTCTTTTGCGGTCGGTGCCGCCTTCTGATCCAGTTCTTTTGCTTGGCATTCTTGAATCACAAGAAGAGGAAGTGGATGATAGTCTAATAAAGAGCATGTTCGGGTTTTCAAAGAAGAACCTGTATGATCTATCTGCTCCAACTCATGATGCGCGTCGTGAATTCTTTGGAAAAATCATTGAATTCGTCAAGACACCTCCGAAGGGATTCCCGAACCCAGAAAACCGCAAACTTCGTCAGCTGGAGAAATTGGAAATCGCGCCACCTCCGCCTCCCAAGCCCGAGGCAGAACTCACCAAGGAGGAGATCAAGGCTCAGAGGAAGAAAGATTACATATCCTTGAATCTTCTGAAAACTCGAATTCAGCCTATTATGGATCAAGTCAAGAGGTACAAGCGTTTTAGGTCGGGCGTGATCGATGAATCCCAAATCCGATACTTGTGGGAGGAAGAAAATCCCAACATTGTTACCAGTGATCTTCCCCCGGATCAGCAAGATACCTTCCGGCCTTATGAGAAGGCATATGACAAGCATGGTGTGTTGGGTCTCCGTGAAACTGCCACTGGGAAGTTCTACTACAACCTAGAGATTGTGACAATTGAAAAACGCCTTGCAAACGGATACTACAAACGCGCCGTCGACTTTGTGGCGGATATCAAGCGAATGGTCAAAGATGCTCGACAGACTGGTGACCCGGAACGCATCTTGCGGTCAAGTGAACTTTTGACTAATGTCGAAGTTGATATCGCTAGTGTTCTGGTAGCCGAACCAGCTCTTATGGCAGAATGTGAGCAGGTCTATCTGCGTGAGATGGCTCGTGAAAAGGAGGCCGCGGAGCGTGGCAAACGTGCTCAGATGGAGAATGCCCCTCCCCCCATTCCTGAGCCTACTATTGTGTCGCACGGCACGGCTGAATCCAGCCTATCGACTGGCCCAATTCAACCCGTCGGGGACAATGAGGATGTTGGAAAAGCGGCTTCGCGCCCTGTTACGCCCGCACCCCAGTTCAAGAGTTTCGCAAATGGAAGTCATCACGGCGATGGTTCGGATCTCAACGAGTTTGGTTCCCATGCTGTCGGCGCGAGCAATGGTACTCATGGAGATGGAGACGGCGACATTTTCATGTCCAATTCTGATGACCACTCGGGTAGCAAGGATACCCAGGGAAGCTCGTTTGGGCCATCAGCACAGCCCAAGCCCCCTTATTCCCACACTGCGCCTTCTCAGCAGATTCGTCGAGAATCTGGTCTTTCCAGCTTCTCTCAGCGAGGCCCCATGACTCCAATGGCCCCCGGATCCCAGCCAGCTGATTACACTAATGAAGCATCCACCACCCAGACGACTTCTGATAAGAAATCCTCTGAGCATCTGTCGAATCAAAACTACCACACTCAGAGCCCTCATGTCTCAAGAACCGAATACCCCGATCTTACTCCATACCCCGATCGCGTGTCACAGGAAGACCACCTGCCCGACACCCAGCAAAACGACAGCAGCCAGCCTTCTCCCCATCCCCGGGACTCGCTGCTTAGCAATGCAGATACCCAAGAGAATAGCGGGTTGAATGGAAGCCACTCGCAGTCGAAACCGCAACCCCCGCTGTTCGATGCATCCAACATGCCAGCAACCAATGCTTCGGCTAGTTTGCAATTGATCCTGAACGAAGAACCCCATGAGCCATTCGTTCTCGATCTTGAAGTTGTTGAGCGTCTGCACACGCAGCTAACCCTGTCAACTAGCGGATTCTCAGTGGAGCAGCTAGAGCAAATCAACACCAATCTAATGGACTATGTGTGGCATATGCGTGGAGAATGGAACCGTACTCGCGTCGCCGATGGTCTCGGCAAAACATACAATACAGTCCTGGAAGACATGCAGGCGATGCAGGAGATCGGACCTATCAGCCAACAGACCAAGGATATCTTGGCCAACCTGAGTTTTAGTGATGTCTGATAGAGACTCCATACTTTCACCGTTTTCTTTTTTGTCCTTTTTCTTACTTTGTCAATATGTTGACTCGGTTCATATTCCCCTCTGATCTGGCGATGGTTTTTCTTTTTTTTTTTCCTTTGTGGTGGATGGATAGGGGGAGCAAATGTGTGAATTACCCAATCTCTCTCATTGTTTACGCAAAAATTAGTTTCAGCGTGTTATTTCACATGGGAAACATATGTAGACTATGAAAATAATGGTTCAAAACGTGGTTTCTCTTCGTAATTGTAGCTCTTATAGGTCGTATTGGGAATGGCCGGAGCGAAGCGAAGCATAACCTCGTGTACATGCCACGTGCCGGTTGTTTTCTTATGGACTCAAAATCCGTAAGAAATAATGCGGTGATAAGTGTTGAAATCCATTGTTGGCTTTCCAAACGCCGTTGGACTTGGGGTCAATGGCGCCAACAGCTTTTTAGGCGGAAACTACGGAGCACGTTTTTCTACAGAAAAGATCTCCAAGCGGTAACTTTCTACCACTTGGGTGAAATCATCCAACTTGTTGTGTTGCAGGCTATAAGTGAGCCAATAAGCTAGTAATAGGGGGGTTTAGTATAGCTAGCCTTGATTTGATATATCCCAAGTATAACGAAATATATATTTGAAGGAATAATAGGTATACAGTTATAAATGTTATACTCCAGATAACGATAAAAAGTTTGCAACGTTTGTAAAGTGGTCAGCTATATCAACTAGTAGCTGCTTCCTACTTTATAACTTACTTCTTCTTTTTTTCTTGATCTTCATTATTAGTTAAATATACTCTTTCTTCTGGTACCTCATAATCTGGGAGGTATATATAGCTCTATCGTACCTGCCCTGTCCGTACTTTCTAGTTATAGAAGGAATCGCTCTTTATTATCTATACCGTTTTTAGAATAGTTTTTGGAGCAGTTATTAGATAATAAGTAAGTACCGGGGAGAAAGGAAAAGGAAAACTACCTGCAGGTTCTGCTCGCCTGGTGCGAGGACTTTCTGCAAACCATACAAATGGTGATTCTCTTTATAAGTGGAAAGTGCAGATGCGGCAGGACACTCAGATCATCATATATAAGACCGCTCCTCGAACTGGTTATACTTTATTCATGCTGATTTCGGATCGGAACCTTCCGCTTCCCAACCCTCCTTCACTCTGAACCCATTTCTATCCAGCTAGCCCTCGACTAATGTCGTGGTCATTTTCATAATGTCGTCAGTTGCAACCATATCTTCCTTCTCGCAAGTGAGCGCTCATTCAATGGGCTTCTGCTCAACATCATCCACCTTTTCTCCGTCCGATGGTCCCGTTATCATCGATAAAATGGGGGTTCTAAAGTCAACACTCCGCGCTGGAGGCCCTTGGGTTGGCTTGGACTGTTTCCGGTATGCACAACAACTATTTTTTCCTTGATATCGCCAAGCGCATTCTCCGAATGGACCACCCAGCACCTCGAGATCTCAGGACCATGATAAAAGCACTAAATTCGTCCATTAAAGATGTGAAAGATGCTTCTTTCTATACCTCGAAGCCCGAGATGGACAAAGGGGAAGGTTGCTGGTTACCGGATTCTGCCAGGCGTGCGTACGAGGCTACGCTGCGGGATATTCAACACCTTGAAAAGAACCGGGATTCATATGCAAAAATGCAACAATGGAGCATACTACCTAGGACATGTCGTCGCCGGAAGTGGTATGTATCGCATCCGACTCAATGAGGACAAGCGTCGAGTGGCCGTTGACTGGGCTCTGATTGAAATGTCGAGCAATAGAATCCACCGACAAATGCATGCTGATGAGGTCTCTGGCAACATTGTAAGTTGGATGTTATCTGTGTCTTTTCTCAGGCTAATTCATGAGCTTTAGGGGTTCCGGTACAGCAACAACACCAGCAGAAACAGGATCGATCGTCCATATCATGGTGGTTCAATCCTGGATGCCCGCGACGGGATGGGACTTTTCAAGTCCGGGCGATCTACTGGTCTAACATCTTTTGTGCTTCACAGCTTGGGATCTGTCGAGCTTGATCGGCTCAAAAGCAAACAGAGACATGGATACAGTTTTGTCATCAATTGGGCTCGGAAGGCCTCGACTTCGGAATCCACAACATTCGCAGAAGCCGGAGAGTCTGGTGCTTGGATAACAAGAGTGGATGGAATGGTCTTCGGTATGTTGACCGGAGGGGACCAGCGGCAGGGGACGACCTACTTCTGCCAGACGACGGCGCCGTTGAGGTCAGAATCGCTCCCACGCCAGTTCCGTGATGTCTGTTTACTATTTCGTCTATTTTTATGGGATTGGAGTTCAAATATCATTACTGGGGTGTATAATGTAACTCCGTACTTGTAACGTAGTATATCTTTCTGCATCCATTTCACAGGTCGGAGAAGGACGGGCAGCCAATTGGCCTTACGCCAGATCATTACTAGAAGGAGTTGCTTACTATGGGCGCACATTACTGTGCATAAAACCATAGCTTAGCACGTCCCCATACCCCATGGGAGGTCGTAGAGATACGGGCTACGCCCGTACCTCGATGGTCGTTAAACAATACAACAACAACAACGTAGTATATCTATACTCTTTTTGCGCCCAGCCCACTAAACGCCCTCTTCAGGTTTTTTTTAAACTGTTTCTGACCTCTTTCTAGTTCATTTGAAAGTATGATAACAGAGCGGTAAGTTATCTCTTCTACCGGTGGCATTGTTCCCAGACTTTATAGATACTACTCAAGTACAACATTTAAGATAAGAATAGCCTACGATAGGCCGGGGGTTAGACTTTAGGCCCGGCGTCCAGGCCCAAAGTTGGGCTTTGCGGAAGCCTACATAGAATTTAATATCACAAGTCTCTCCTGGCACGAATCTTTCGTTATGAGTGTCATTTATTATAGTATCGCTATAGTAAAAAATGCAGCCTGAACCACTCTAGCCACATATATAGTAAGTTGTACATCTACATCTATAATCAGCCCGAACTAGTTATAACTATCATGGAAGTAGGTTCGAAGGAGTGAACATGTGACGTGACCCACTAAACACCCTGGCCTTTTGAGCTTGTTGACCACCACATTTGCACTTCAAGGCCCTTTCTTTTCTTAATTTCACCTTCACACTTGGGAATGACAGCTTGACCATTTTTATTTCATCTTCTTTCCCGGACCTCCGATCTCTCCATATACCCCTGCCCGAAAAACCACATCGTCGCAATGTTCGACGTGGACTGGCTCAGTCTCGCCGTCCCAGTCGCCTACCTAGGCATTCTCTTGGGATCGCTTGCCACATTCTCCTCCCTCTACCGCAAGCGCAAGTCCCGTATGTGAAATACCCCTTGAAAACCTCAACCTCTCAGCCTCTCCGACCATCTCATGCGCCGACGTGTCCAATCGTCCCCCAAGGCTAATATATGATTTGTGAATTATTCTAGACAAGGCAGCATCTCTAGAGCCATGGTTCCCCGCCCACCTCCAGCGTGATATCTACTTCTCTCTCCTCCACCTTGAACCCTCAACAACTTCCACAAAAGAGAAGAAGGCCCCCGCTATCCCTGACTCTATCTTCAAGGCTTCTCTTCTCCGTCGCGCAGCTGAAGACATCCGTCGCATTATGGCACTGCGCACCCAGAAGCAAGCTCTCACAACGCTCGTCCAACGTGGTAGTGTCGGTGATGATCTCTGGCAGCGATTCCAGCGCGCGGAGAAGGAGATGGAAGATGAGGTCAAGGATGTGGTTTCAGAGGTATGATAAGCAAACTCCGTTCTCTGTCGCCAAGAAACATTTTCTCTTCTCGGCGAACAAATGGTTGTATATGTTTTGTGCTTTACTAAACAAAATCAAACAGGCAAACGCCTATGTCCCCGGCTGGGGCCAGACTATCTTCCAGTCCGCCAACGAAATGATGAATAACGATATTTACCGCAAGCGCATGGACGATCAACAGAAAAAATTGGAAGAGGAGCGCCAGTGGTGGATCAAGAAGAAGACGAGTATCCAAGAGGGATTCATGAAGGAGTTGAATGAGGGCTCAGTAGCTTCTACTGACGAGACTAAGACTACCAACGCCACAACCAAGTCCTCTGAGGCCGCATCTACGGCCCCTGCCGCCGGTGCCTCTGTTCAGGGCAGTGATGACGATGCTGTTCTTGTGGAGGCGGAGACCTCGAGTACGCCTGCTTCTCCGGCAAGCGCAAAGAAGAAGAAGGGCAAGGGCAAAAAATAGCTGAGTTGCTTTTCCTGTTATTTGTACTTTTATGGTTCGAAATACACTCTTTGTTAGAGGTTTTTTGGACTATGGTTTCGCTGAGAAATTACATTGTGATCACTCATGAGCTATACTGTCTTCGTCCTATTTTGTCTTATTGGCCTACCGCCTATGTAGTTCTGCCAGCCATAACCCCATTTATTCGATTTTAGCACCCGTGGACTATACCAGATCAGGTAGGACCTTCACCCGAACCGCGAGGCCGCAGATTTAGGCAGATGGGCCTATTACTCCGTAACTACTCCGTACTCCTATTTCGCTCAAATGATGTTGAAATTTTGCCCATATTTGGTCACCCTTCTTACTGTGTTCTCCTTTCTTCCTAATGGTCTCAACCTAGGTCTCTTTTTGTAACGATGCCGAATAGCAAGGACGCTTCCTCAAATCTTTTCTTTATACCTACCGATCTTGAAAGGCCTGGGGTCCAAGCCTTCCGTGGCCATATCAGATGGGCACAAATCCTACTTCTTCCAGTAAAGTACAATGGTAATCCATAGGAATAAAAAAATGCAATTCCTATCACATCAGGCTTCTCTCGGTTACATCTTAACCCGTACTGACCCCTGGAAAAGCCACCATGTAGGCAAAACCAATCACACATATAAGATCCCGGGAGCAAATAGGAGCAGAGAGGAACGGAGCGAGTTGATTCCATTTCGAACTACCCCCGCCCCTACAGGCTAGGTCATTCACTCTACATACAAATACCCCTATATTCCCTACATTCTTCCTTATTGTGGTTTCTTTCTCTTCGCCCTTACCTGCTGGAATAACTCTTCCTACAATGTTCAAGTCAACTGCCCAGCGTCTTTACAAAATAGTTGGGAGCACCAAAGTGAGCGACCTTGGTCCTGAATGGCAAGGTCCTGTCATCCAATTCCTTGACGGAGAAGAAAAGGCAATAAGTAAAGAATCTCATTCTACTATGTGGAGGGCCTTCAAATACTCATCTTAAACAGGATCCAAGGTTTAAAAACGCTGAAATAAGGTGCTTTTTCGCAATATGCAAGTCAGTCTTGGTGATGACCTAATAAATGACTATAGAGGCTCCAAAGCGCATCTATCTCACAACGATCCAAGTGATAAGAAAGAGGTGATATCAGTTCTTCTTAAAGATGGCAATAACAAAACCCTACAAAAAGCCCATGTTCATTTAGATGGCTCGGTCAACAAAATCAAAGCCGGGTTCGAATAAGTTTTTTTTAAGGCATTTCAGGCAATGTTAGTTGGGACATATTATTACACTCTCTTCTTATCTCCATTCGTTATGAAGTAAACTGTAAACTCAAATGTAACTAGATATAAACATATTACGTTAACAAAGCGGATAATGAGAAGAGTTGGATTATCATGCCACAGTCCGTATATCTTGAACATTTCCAAGGTTAGGTAACTAGTTACCTAGGTAGGACAACGTATTCGGTAAACGAGCTGCGCACCCCAAAACACCATAGTAAATGCAACATAGTCCACATTTATATCTCAACAACCACGTCTCAACTTGCTTTCATTACTTGTCGATAGCCATCGATAAGCATGTTTAGCAATATATTTCAATTTCAAATAAATCAGAAAGTTGCATCATTGCGGTATTGAAAATTACATCACTGAACTATAGGAAATATATATATCTCAATCACTATTATATCAAATTTCTCAAAACTCCCTAGAGTGATCAGATATCATATGGAGAGTAATTGGCTACAAGATCAAGTTTATATTGACCACCGTTGTTGCAATATCATGTTGTAATTTATCGCTTTTACTATGTGTTTTGGGGTGCGCAGCTCGTTTACCGAATACGTTACATGCCGCTGACCAATATACCACGAATCGGCAAATTAAGCCGACTTTTAGTTACGGCGACCTTAGCCACTGATCTGACAATAGATCTTTTGCGGAACTTCTTTCCTCTGGTCGCCATCGAACCATCTTACGCATGAATGCAAGAAAGAGTTCTTGCTGTTCACCTTCCAAATTTCCCTCAAGCTGCTCAAAACTTCTTGAAGGAATTGGAACGGCTCCTTTCCAATTACCTTGATTTATTCAGTCAGTATTGGGAGGCATGGAATTATTAGGGGGCATACCTTCGCTATCGAAGAAGTCTGTAGCATAGTCGCTGTTTTGTAGTAGATCTCTTGGTGGTGGTCCAAGAAGCGCAATCATCTCAGCGATGTGATTAGCGTCCGAGTCTTGCTTCTGTGAATCTCTAGCATAAAATAAATGGCCTCTTTGGAAAAGGTCCCAGGTCTAGAGTAGTTAGATGGTTGTTAGTTAGAGAATTGGCTTTATAACTTACAACAACCCCAAGATTCCAAATATCAACCTTCTGATCCCAAGACATACGTAGTAAAACTTCAGGGGCCCGGTATATATGGTTGTATTTCACCGGAGTAATGGGCTGACCCAAAGCGAGCTTGGCCAAAGTCACATAGAACAGGTCGGCCATGTTGCTTTGTTTTCTTAAGCTTGCGAGATAAATAAATCACCCGATCTTCAACAATCTTCCGCGGACTAGGATTGGATTTCTCCGCCTCCTCAAAATCAGCTAATATCGAAGGATCTTCAATACCGAGTATAACATTTTTTTCTTGTATGTCTAGAGGGAACGAGTTAGGAAGGATTAATATAAAGTATAAAGGTCCTAGAAGTATCATACCGGTGTGGACAATACCAGCTTCTGTGTGAAGGTAATCAACAGCAAGGAGGAGATGCCATAGAGTCAATTTCACTAATTTTTCCGGTAGTATCTCGGCAGCGAATCGATTTCGGAGCTCATATAGACTTATGCCTAGAGGATGGTGTACAATGCACTGGTAGAGCCCCTGAGAAGCGCCGAGTCCTTGTGCATCGATCTGGAAGCTATCCAGCGCCGTTCGAACAAACATGGCACCGTTATGGGATGCACTAGATGACGCACTACACGCATTAAGGTGGGCGTAGGCTTCAACTTCTCTCTTGCCCTCGGCTGAATCACGTTTGAATACTTTCAATGTGACGTACTTATGCTGTCTGTCACAGAATCAATTATTGTAACAATTCTCAGGATCGATAGAACATACGTGAGATCCCTGCAAAGCCACACCGTCGAGTACCCCCCATATCCTAGTTTTCCGATAACTTGGTACCGAGATTGGAAGACTTCGCCGATTTTGACAGAATAAGTGCTCTCTGGTGTGTACGACGGAAGCGTTTCTTCCTCGAACTTGTCATTTGGATCGAGTAGTTGAAAATTTGATTGAGTGAACTGCCGCACGGGTGAAGCAGGTCGCTGGAAAAGAGAGCGCTTAAAAAGGCGTCCTAGGCGAAACAGTACTGCCATGGTAAAAGCTAAAGATAATGTCCCAAATTCAAGGGGTGACCTTGCATTATCGAATGACCTGTCGATTCTGCCGTAGTCATGTGACCAAGACTCACATGAAGAAAATTACGAATGTACATTAATTCACTTAATTGTGAAAAAATTACAAATTTATCGGGCTTAGAAAGGTTCCCCTGCCGGGGAAAAAAGAGCTTGGTCGAGTCGACTGAATATCGACCCATCGTCTGGCTGTAGAGGGCTTAGTAGAAAGGCTGGAGGGTGGATTGATACGAAATTGCCGAGTGTTGAAGTCTTCCAGAGAAGGCGAAAAGGTAAGAAACCCCCCATCTAGTGAGCTAAGCTATCGAGGGAGAGAGAGGGAGAGAGGAGGAAAGGGAAGATCATTCGTGGAGAGGAGCAGAGGAAAGATAGTAGACCTCATCAGTATAAGTACATTATATCTAAATACAAAATAATATACACAGCCCTAATTTAAGAGCAAAACAAACCGTCAAACGCCTTGGTTTCTTGGTAAATCCAATGCAATGGATAAGCCAAAAAGAATAGGGAGCAGCATTGGAATGCTACTGACATGGTCACAGAAGCTTGCTATCGTCTACCCCCAAGGGCAGCCCCAGGTCGATATGTTCGGCCAACATCTCCTTCGCCGCTATCTCGAGTTTATTTTCGACTTGAACTGGGTCCAAGGCATCTGCTCGGCTCATCACGATCCGTAGTAGACTTGCCATGATCTCTAGTTGGTATTGTTCCATCTCACGTGGATCTAGCTGCTCAAGACTCAATCCTTGCAATCGCAGGTTTTCGGCTTTGCGGTTACCCAACAGTTCGAGCAAACGGCTAACCTGGCTGATATTTTCTTTGCTTCGTGGAGTCGAAGACAAGCGGCGGAGGCGCCGTTTGGGAGTGTCAGCTGGTACACCAGCCAGTCGCGCAATTTGAAGTACTATCATGCGCGCGGTGGTGTCATCAGGTGCGAAGCCGAAGGCTGAATGCATCGAGTGTATGACCACTAATGTGCCGGGGACGTCTTTAGAGAGACAGAAACATCGCACAATCTGATCAAATAGAGCTCTAGGAATCTGCGCTCGGGTGGTTTTCTGAGTGCGAGGAGATAATTGGGAGTACCAGGACATCATATTGGCATAGAGTTGGCGTGCTGATGGGAAGCCCGCATCGAAAGCAGTACGTCCACGGTCGTATTGGAGCTTGGCACAGTCCCAGAGGCAGGCATATGTTTCCACGTCGGGCCGGATGGCGGTAGACATTGTCTGGAACTTGGTCCAGAGTTTTTTCACGTCTTGCTTTCGGAGATCTGCGTATAGAAGGTGGTTCATGAAGTAAGAGTTCGGCTTGATGTGTGCATCACTAAGAGACTTGACCAAGTATTTGACCATGTCGTCATCGCCTCGGCGTGTATAATGAAGAAGAAGGATAGAGAAGGTCTCGATGCTCGCAGGTGGGACCTCTCTCTGCATAAACCGAGGCATGCGTACAGATTCTGTCTCCTCATACTTGACTTGAAGCCGGGGGGAACTCTCGGCTGGTAGGTATCGTCTCCATACAACATCGATGCGCTTCTGAATCATGGCCCACCCAAGTCGCTCTGCCTTGTCGCGTGCACTCGTGTTCCCATCACGGAGCCAGCCGGCAATGATTCCGTTCAAGTGCTTGCTATCAGGCTTGACACATCGCTCATACATAAGTTCAATTACCAGAGCAGCAGAGTCGACCTCGCCCATACCAATGAGCTTTTTCATCCAACTTGCATAGAAGAACCGGTTTTGGAACTGGCGAGGTAACACCTTGAGTGCCGACAAAGAGACCTTGTTCACTTCATTTTCATTGATGCTCGATGCATGAAGGTTACCCGCCAGGCCCAACGCGGCTTTATACAAAGCAGTTGAGTCATTGGCCGGGTCTTTTCCGGTCACCATCATATCCTTGAAGATTGCAACAGCAGTATCCAATCGACCAGCCGTGAGAAGGGCAATGCTGATTTCATCATAGTCTTCCATGGTCATATCAGAGCCCAGGAATGTCTTCAGCCGCAGATAAAGTGCCCAAGCCTTTACCTCAGCTTCCTTTCCGGGCAGCCTTCCCCATGCTGTGATGACAGGAATGAGTACACGCGGCTGACGAGTTCGGTCGTTTGCCAGGAAAGCCAAAGCAATATCTTGAGCTCGTTGTGGGTTGTTATCTGCAGCAAATAATCGCACTCCGAGTTTCCAGTACTCTTCCAGATCCTCCTTCTTCTGAGACAACTCCGCTTGATATGCCTCCCATTGCTCTAGTGCAAGGCTGGTGGAGCCACTTTTATGCAGAGATGTAATATAAAACAGGATCTGAGGCGTAGCCAGTTCTTGGCCGATAGATGTAGCGTCCTTGGCCAGGATTTGCAAATGTTTTGAGCGTGTAGCCTGGTCAGACTCTTCTATTGCTTGTGAATCCCATATCGTTTCGAGTGCCCTCTCAGGCATTATTGTCAAAAACCCTGGGATGGTCTGCTTGCATCGTCGGTACCACTTCCATAAGTCCTGTCGAGCCCGCTCGTCTGACATCTTTTCTTGGAGTAGTCGTAGAGAATTATTGAACTTTATAACGTAAGGATGAGCTTCTGCTCCTGCACGCTTTGCTGCGGCAGATCGTCTGGCAGCTATTTTTCGCCGATTTTTGACGCCATCCTCCCAGTTCTCTTCTTCCATCGCGAGGCCTTCAAACTCCTCTCGTAGCATATCATCAAGCTCTTTGTCAAAAACTTGATCCAACCCGGCCTCTTCTGCTGGCTCGGAATTTTCCTCGTCAAATTTTTTCAGAGCTTCTAGAGCAATCTTCCTGTCCTTTTCTGGCAAACTCTTGATGAAAGGGCTGTTGGGAGCAAAAGGTCCCTCCTCCAAGACCTTCAATTCATCCTGGATCTTAGCGAGCTCCTTTTTGACCTCATCTCGTTCCTCATTCTGTTCGGCTTCGGGGTCGATTTTTCGACGTGTTTTGCTTTCGGGGGATTCTTGTTCGTAGAATGTGACTTTGTCGTTCGGTCCGCCAAAATTAAGACGCCGCGGAGCTACGGCGGAGAAGGTCCGGCGTGGAGCGCGTGTCGATGGGCTGCGGGCCACATGCTGACACCATCGGGCTCCTTGAATAGCCTGGCGCAGCATGAAGTCTGAAGTCTGAAGTCAATCGGTCATCGAATGCGACCAGAAAAGTTGGAGAAGTGAAGAAGTTCAAGTTCGGAAGAGAACCAATTATCGCCTAATTAGGTTTAGCGTTTGTCGCGCTTCCGCCCTTGAAGTCATCCCCATTGCGACAACCAAGCCCTTTCGAGCAGCAGTATGGATGCTGATGGATTGAACGATGCCTTAGGCTTGTCAAATGACAAGCCGCAAAACCTGGTTTGTTTTCAGATCTGGCATGGTATTCTTGGGATTGCGCGCTAACAAATCATCCCAGGGTTCGTACATCTACCAACCACCCAAACACGGAAAATCAGCGGGCGAACGACCTTCAAAGCGCCGCAAAGTCTCGTCAACTACCGGCAGAGATGACCAGGCTGATCAACAGCGCTTTGTGCCCCTTCTAAACGGAGACGAGAACGCCGAGTCCGTCCAATTACGATATGATACGTATCAGGAGCTTTGGTCAAAGCAAGAAAATAAGATCCAGGTCAGTCGGGCAAATTAATGAAGACCCATAGTGATATATTGCTCACCGGGAGTTTAGGATATCCTCGAGGATGTCGATTCTGCAGTTTTGGCGGATGTGTTGTCCTTTGTCAGAAACACCTCACCTCAGACGTACGTCCCTATACCGATGCGATCCACGAACGTGCTCTAACTAGGGCTTTAGATGTGATGGATGTATTCCTACAGCTTTGGTGACAGTTGGTTCAAATGTTTCCTCGCTCAGCAGATTGCTATCACGGCTTAATGGTCAATTGATATCGACCGAAGAAGGCAGCGTCGTGGTATTGGAATCAGGCGATGCTCCAAATCTGAAAACAACGTTGAAGAACATTATCCGAGCTGCGGTTACAAACACCGATGGCAATGATGGATATCAAAAGTTCCTTACAGATCGTGCTGTATGTCGCTTCAAAAACATCGCATTATTGTACTAACCATTCACCAGGGCCCTCGACTTCTCGGTTACGATTTAGATCTTCTTCACGACTATGTGCAGAGAAAGGGGACCAAGAAATTGGTCCTAGCGCTTCGAGATAGCGAGGCTTTTGACCCTGGCCTTTTGACTGATCTTCTGTCTCTATTCAAGTGCGATTGACATTCCAGACTTCGGTCGATCTCCCAACTGACCTTCTACTAGATCATGGCTTGACCGTATACCGTTCACGGTCTTATTAGGCATCTCTACCTCTGTAGAGCTGTTTGAAGGCAGACTGCCTCGCTCGTGTGTTGCTCTCCTTCAAGGGAAGCATTTCGAGGTCCAAGAGGCCGGGAACTGTGTCGACCGCATCTATGAGACTCTGCAGACCGACTCAGGCACCAATCTATGGCTGGGTCGCAACGTTACCAATACTCTGTTTGAAAACACAAGTGACTATTTTCAAAGTCCGGAGGCATTCAGTCGCATGGTCAAGGTGAGAACTATCCCCAATGGCTTTAAAACAGAAATCTAATTCGTGCAGTATGCATACATGTCTCATTTCTTTGCAAATCCTCTGTCGGTACTATTAGCCAACCCAGATTCTACGATTCTCGCCCAAAACAAGCTATGTGAGGCCGTCAGAAACCTGCCATCATTCCGGATGTAAGAGTCTCCAATTCCCAGGTTATATCTTAACTAATATGATTCAAGGTTCTGTGAGGATCTAGTCGAAGAAGGCTCTATCAAGCAAATCCGAGATATGCTAGAGGATGACGAATATCTTATTCAAGAGACGCCCAAGTACCTGGATGCAAACCAGCAAAGAATGCGAGGCATGTTCCAGGCAGTCCGTGTCATATATGTCTGTCTTGAATACACACAGAGCGCGAAAAAGACTACTG